CCTGAGCTAGAGGATGAAGCGGCACCATGTTCGGTTGCGGCTGCATTCTCTGCATTTATGCGCTCCTCTTCGTACCTCTTCCGGTACTTATTCCTCTCATCTCTGAGCCGTGATGCATGCGCTTCGAATTCCATCATGTCCTGTTGGTTCTGCATCATACCTTCGTAGTACTCAATTGCCTCTTTCTCCTCGGACCTTAATAACTTTTCAGTACGTTCAAGTTCCGCTCTAAGCTTGGTCATCATCTCATTCTCCACACTGGGTTCTGATCCCATGTCTGGTGGTTTCAACTTCAGTGCGACCTTCAATTGTGCTTCACTTGCGCTTGATTCGATCAATTCTTCCTGAAGACGTTTCAGCATCCTCTCTTTACGTAGAATGTCCTCTTCCAACATGTTCACCTTGGCTTCGGCCTTCTTGAGTTCGGCGCTAGATGGTTGAAACGGTCGATCGGATCCTTGAATCCTCGTCTGAGTCAACTCCTCGTTCGCCTTCTTCAATTGCTCTCTGATGCTCAAGATGAACTTATCCTGAGTATTAGATCGGTTGTTGAGCTCCTCATTCTCTTCTGATAACCATTTGATCTTGTTTGCATACATTGCTTCCCTCATCTTCATTTCCTCAGCATATTCGTGTTTGTTTCTGGCACTCTGCCTTTGTAGTCCAACCAACTCCTGTCTACACAGATCCTTGACGTTCTCAGCATCTGCGATTGTAGTCATGACCTCGGTTACAGCTCGATCTCTTTCCGCCGATATAGCCTGGATCTCTTCCGTGCCGATGTTCACAACTTGACTAACCATCTCTGCGCTGTTGCGATCAGCGTACTCCCCTAACTGGGTGAGACGATCCCGCATTGCCACACGATCAGTGTCCATCTGGTATTGCAGATCGTGTGCTGCTGAGAGCAAACAGTCTCTGGATTCTGTAAGTTGGGAGATTCTTCGTTGATTTCCATACCCTTCGACATAACATTCTTCGAGGTGTGCCATCACTACTTCGTGGACTTCGGTCTCGTGTTGTATAATCTGGTTCTGTCTCTGCTCACATTCGACCATCCATGCGTTTTGGTGGTTCAACATATGCACTTCGGCAAGTAGTTGCGCACACTTCGCATTCAGGTCTCCATCGGCCCGTGCTAGTTGTAGGTTGTCAGTGCTTGCCCTTGCCCCATCTCCAGCTTCGCTGTCCGACGGCACTGGTACAGCTGACCCATCCTGCAATGCTAACACTCTCACAGCTCCGGTGTCAGTCCTCCTCCTTGTCTCCCTAGGGCTACGGCCTGATCTCGGTGTCCCCCCCGGTGGTGTCGATTGCGCTGACGGGGAACGACTTCGTGCTCTACCTGTCGCAACTTCTCTCACCACTGTCAGAGTCTCCGCTTCGATCGTACCTGGACTAGAGTTGTGGGATGCACTCATCCGATCTGCGGCCGCAGCAGCTGCTCCAAAAGATGCAGTGCTGGCGTCGGATTGGTCCATCTTCAGTGACTGAGGGTAACTGATCTATCCGATGCGTGTGCGTTTAGATGGTGTTGTGTAAGGCCGCAGCTCGTACCCAGCTCAAAGGAGTCTGGATACGGCTGATAACCTGCGAACGGATGGAAAGGTGTGCCCTGGCCCCGTTCTAGCTCTTAGGTCAACATGAAGCTCGCGCGCTAAAGCTCCTTTTTACCTGGTTGGGCACTTGAGCCAAAAGTATATGGCACGTACCTGTATAGCGACTATACTGGGACCCCATCCCTATTGACAACGTTTAAATAATCATAATCATCAAACGTTTAAGTAATCATCGTTTAAATCAGACGTTTAAGAATCTAGACGTTTACATCATCATCAGACTCATCAGACTTAACATATTTAAACAAACATATCAAACATCAAAGAAGAAACATCTAGACGCCCTCACGGACCTCCAGCTCCGACCAAACCCACTCCCCGACCCGATGCCGGCGAAACCGAGGCTCCGCGCTGTACCAATGTGTTCCGCACCTGCCCAGTGCCACGTGCAACGGCACCGCCCTCAACAAATGCGGTTCCAGCTCGGTTCGAAGCTCCTGGCGATGGGCTTGTGTGGGGGCGGGGCTGTGGGGTCTGTTTGGAGAGATAAGGAGAGCGGTTCGGGGGGGGGGGGTTGGAGGCTGAGATTCATAAGCAGCCATTCACTGAAAAGCGGCTGGAAAAGGGGATCAGTTTCGGCCATTGTTGTTTAATTGTTCTGGGTTCTGAGTATATAATTGTTCCACCGTTCCACCTGTTTTCCAGCTGTTTCTATGGGTGCTTCCATGTTTCTATGGCTGTTTCATGGCTTCCAGTCCATGGCTGGAATGGCTTTCGAGCGTGTGTACCAGGAATGTACCATGATAGGTCCCACTGCCCTTGCTTTTGGCGTGAGGCTGGGGATGATGTGTCTCCATGCGGAACGAACCAAACCTTCTTTTTGGCCAAGGTGCATATACACCTCCATCATTGGTCTTACAGTTCTGCTTCAAGCGGACAAGCCACAAAAAAAGGTAGTACACTTTTTTAGCACGTATCAGCCCCAGGGCATCCTTCCTCATTGATCACCGTCACACCAAAACAACATACTATACTATACATAAGTTAATACATAACAACGTTATTCTTTCTTCCACCTCGGCATGAAAACACCTCAGCTTTGACCCCTGTCCACCTCACACGGCGCTGGACCTCAGGTTTCACCAGAAACTCCACCGGAGCAGAATGGTTTCTTTGCACCACAGAGGTGCTGCGTGTTTTCAACCCTCTTGGGTGCCCCCGACTGTCGAAAACAGGTGCTTTCATCGCTTTCACCGCTTTCACCCTCCACCAACTCCATCTTGGCCGCCGGCTCCTTCTCCGGATCTCCTACGGAAGAGGAATCCTCCGAGGCTGATGTACCCGCGGCTCCTGCAAGCGTGCTGGCACGAGGCTGGCCAGTGCGAGACAGGAACCCAAGCCTTGTTTGTGGGTCGTGAAGAGTGTCAAAGAGTTTTTCGCTGCGCCAAACGGGATCGATGCTGCGGGGTGTGTTCTTGGTGTTCAAAATTCGACACGGATGAACGGGGCCTGAGATGGAACCCTTAAGATGAACATATATAGAACAAGGTGCTGACTTGCACGGCCTCGAAGTCTGGAGTTGAATCTGACAAGATTGAGGGCACCTTCCTGGTCATGCCACCCTATGTCACCCGGTGACACCAGGGTTCAGTGAGAACGGCAGGAAGACCTCTTCTTGGTGAACATCAGGGAGACCAAGAAGGCCATTGATGAGCCTCATGTGAGGCATCTTGAAAGTCTATGCAATCATGAGAAGCTACTAGTAGCAAGAAGCTACTAGGTTGGAGGCCATTACTACAAGTAGCCAGAAGCTACTAGTTAGTCTTTGTTAATGTCTTAAGTCTTAAGGAACAAACTCTCAGAGCCCTTCTAGCCGAGCAGTGCCCGAGACACCCGGCTCCACATTTGTTTATGGCTGGACATTACCAGTATTCAAATATATTGTAGAATTTGCCTGTGTTTTGTTTGAAACATGTTGAACATCAATTCCCCTGTCTGTCGGCCCTTTAAAAGGAGAAGACTGGCTCGCTCTTGCTCGCTCGAAATCGCCCCATCCCCATCCCACCCAGACCCGGTCCTATGATCTCCGGAATTTGTAAGGGATTGAGGGTTTTCAAGATCACGTTGAGCGATGGGCTCGAAAATTGCCGTCCCACTTTCACGCCACGCCGGCCCGATGGGCCGGGTACGGGCACTGTCAGCGCCATGCACGGTGCGCACCGTGGAGAGAAAGGGATCCGAATCTCGCTGGTCTGTCGCTAGGTTGGAGGCCATCGCTCGTATTCTTTATCTAAGTCTAAGAGGGGCTTCCCTACATCAAGGAGCGGGCGACTGAGTGGGTGCTGAAACGAAGGCGTGACGACTGGGATCTAGAGAGACGGACACCCCGCGAAGGGTGGGCGAGTGACTTGGGCCGTCCTTCGTCTGACCTTCTTAGGATGGATTCTCTCATTTTCAGTGGCCGAACCTAAAACGGTAGGCTGTGCTAGATTCACAGCCTCTCTTTTGGCGAAACTGCACAAAAATATGATATCCAATTGTAGGGCAGTTCTCTCGGGATTTGAGTGGTCTGGCGCCCGCATCCACAGCCAATCAATGTTACTTGAGTCGTCTGCATCTCCAATCAATCTCTTGAGTTGGCGAGCCCTTCCTGAATTTGAGCCTGATCTTGCAACGACCTAGCCCGACTTGTAGGGCCCCCTTGTAGGGCCGAGCTTAAGGCATATTACTAAAAGAAAAAAAACGGATGTTCAATGACTTTCATCTACGGTATGCTTGCCCCATTAGATGCCAACAAGACCCTGGAGCTTCCAACACAGACAGGGATCATCAGTCACATGTCAATACTCGACTTTATACATTGGAAAGCAAAGTTCCGACCTGCAGGCCTCTGTCCGGTCCGGGACCTCTTTTGGAGCCAGGCAGCTGGCGCCCTTCTTATACGCAGTATCAGTACCCGCCCCCGGGGGACATGTGAGTCGCCTAAGGATCCACACACCCTCTGATACCCTTCCAAGACAACCAGTCCAATGCGAGAGGGATGGGCAAGGTGCAAAGCTGGCCGTCGCGCGCGCAGCTGGGAATAGGATTGCTATTTTTCTAATCATTCATATATGCTACCGAGGTATTTTGGAATTGAATCTTATGATGCACTTTCCTCTGGAGACGCCTTCAGATCGTCGTAGCTTCTCTATACACCCTTCAAGACCACATGCCACAGCAAAAACTGACCCCTCATCTTCAAGACCTGCACATCTTCAAGCTTCTTTGCACATCCGATTGACCAGTTTTTGTTCTGCCCCTATCCATCAAGCCAACTCCATATCCATCCATCAGTCTGCACCCCTATCCATCAGTCTTGAAGACCAGTTGTCTTTCTGCCCCTATCCATCAAGCCAACTCCATCCAAGCCAAGCCAGTGGTCTTAACCTGCCCAGGAGCCGGGCAGCTGGGAGGCTGACTGGGATCGATCGAACTGAACCTGATCGTTCGATCGAGCTGAGAGGGGTTTGGGAAAGAAACCGGTCATTTTGGGTGATTACATGTGATGATTTAGATGGATTGATGAAAAAAATCAGGATTTGCTGGGATTTGGGTGTCTAACTCCATATATATGAATGACCTGGTGTCCTTTTTCTTGCGGCCGCTTATATTCAGTTTCACAGTCCTTTCAAGTCTGGTCCGCGTGTTTCATTTTTTGGGGGAAAATGGGGGGAGTTGGCCAACCTTGGAGTCATTTGGCAAGCCATGACAGCTCTGAGGCCAGCTCTGACGCCCTGGGCAAGCCGCAGCCAAAACATCCCAAATGTCAAAATATCAAAGGCATTCGATCTGCATCACTTGTTGGAGCCAAATCTGAAGGAGTTCAGCTGGACTTGGTAGACGTCAACTTGGTGGACTTGGATTTAGATGATAAAGGGGTTTCTCTGGCCACACTGTGCATTGGTCCTTCTTGCTATTGGTGGGTGCAGGAGAGAACTCTCCTGAATCTGGTTGTTTCGCTACACGACCAGTGTTCTTGGCAGAATGTTGTAGACTCTTGATTAATAACCACCCCACTAGAAGAGGATGTCCAAATCAAACGGGTGGTTATTAATCAAGACTCTACAGTACACTATATTTTAATATATGTTCTGATCAGATATATACCAAGAGAGGTTAAACCCTACTGGGGTACCTATGGGATAGTCTATGGGGTTCTTCAACCTCTGTTGGTAGGTTCATGTGTGTGTGTCTGTGTTTCTTTGGGGCCAACCACATGGATTTCAGTCCTGGTTCAACAGCAAACCTATCCGTCAGTGCACGGAGTCCAACAAAGACCCGCAAACAGTCCTGGCTCCGAGCGGATGTAAGAAACAACTCGATATATGAATCCATTGATGGTCTTTGAGGTCTATTTGCCAGTTCAAGGCATGATTTCAATATCAATACATCAATACATATATCAATACTTTGATTGATGTTGATTCACTTTGGATGCATTCCCGGCTTTTTCTCAATCCAAAGATTTCCTGATGCCATGGAGCTCGCACCAGCCGAATTTGATCTCTGAGAAACAGCTCCTGATGGTCCCGCTGCGTGGGCTCCATTGACCCACCCATGGGGCATTAGGGAGTTCCCTGTGGGAGCTGCGTGCAGGTATCACCAACCCTCAAACACGTAGGTATCAATGAATTAGTTTAAGGGAAAAGCTGTAGGAAACCCGTGTTTTCATCCCAAGCTTGTGGCTTTCTTGCAGATTTTTATCTTAAAATCTCCTAAACCAATTCTGGGAAGGTACGACCTCGTCGACATGTCTTTAATCCAAGCGAATGGTTGTCTCCTGCATTCGAATCAAACGAAGACCAGGCAGCCAGGTGACTTTTCGACGATCAATGGACTTCAGGGAGTGTGGAGCTGTGATGTCTTCAGCGAGTGTTGTCATACCCAGACACTCCATGTATGCCATATAAATGCCTACATTGACCCCCCAACCACCCCAATGTAGGCATATATGGCACACATGGAGTGTCTGGGATATATAGGTCTGGTCTGGTCCTTTCTTCATCTCGCCCCGTCGAATTCCACTTCATACCGTTCCAAACCACCTCCTCCAGCGCTGTTGGGTTGAATCCGTTGCTTGGCCCGGGAGCTGGCCATGTATCTTCAGCAGCCAGGGCGAGCGCCCAAGCACCCGAGCACCGCATCAACGCACCCCATGTCTATATTAACACATCGGCGAAGTACAAACATCGGCGAAGTTCCTCCCACTGGACTTGCTTCTTGTGGGTTCTTGCGCACTTCTGGCGCACATGAGCGACCTGACCCAGAAGTGATGAGCTCATCCAGTCTCCTTTTCATGACATGAGTGTCAGAAAAACAAATGGACGTCTCCTCGTCCTCCAAGAATCATGGAACTTGCATCTTTCTTGGCACTGCCGCACTTCTTTCGTCTAGTTATCATATGACCCAGAAACGGTCCCAGCCACTAAAAAACATTTTGCAACTGGGAAAACATAAAGTTTCACTCACCATGACAAAACGAATTCGCCTCGCAACTCGTCAGGTGTCCCGTTTCTGGACTTCCAACTCGTCATGCACGGCGGACACGCCGCGCGCGGGAAGGCGGCAAGGCGGCATTGATTAGGACGATGGTCATCCTGAATCCTATATTGGATTTGGGATTATATACCAGGACCTTCAAAGTGACCTCTTTGGAGTCTTTAAGTGACCTTGTACAGACCTAAGTGACCTCATCCTGGGATATCAAAGGGTCACTTTGAAGGTCCTGGTAGGTGAAAATGAACATCCAAACAAACCAAGTCCAGCCCAGTCAATCCCGGTGTCTGAAACAAGGAGTCGCCAAGGATCCCACCTGCTAATTCTCAAATAAGATGCACAAAAACAATACCCGGTCAAGTGAGATGAAAAATCATGAGCTCCAAATGGATATGGACAATTATGGAACAGTTCACCATGAAAAGTTCGGCCACTTGGGCAAGGTACCCAGACTCAACAACAACTTCTCCCCACTGGACGCAAGCTGAAAGCAGTCCGGGCGTCATCCCATCGACTTGGCTGCTGAGTCCCAGTAGTACGCCCAGCCGGCGACCTCCCACAACACCGGCGGGAAAGGGAAAGGGGACAGGTCGATGGGGGTTCTGAGAAATCTGAAGGAACATGTCGAACAACAGGGAGAGGTACACTCTGACGAACACAGAAACCATGGAAGTGGATGGCAGGATGATGCAGGATGGCATGGCCCCGAAAGGAAGACGACGTTACGAACCAGGGGGTTTTCCACCTTCCATGGTTTCGGTGTTCATCGGAGTGACCCTCTTTTTGAGGGGTCAGAATGCACTGCGATTTCTGCACATGCCATCTCAGGTGAAGGACACTTCCAATCAACAGCCTGCACCCCTTGCCATGGCGCATGGGGGCAAGGATGGCCGCAGTCGGACCAACTCACTCGTCGAAGCCGGAGCGAGCGGACACGTGGCCGGGGGCAGAACACCCTTCTTCTCTGAAGGTTCACAGCTTTCAGCAAGGTTTCAGCATGATGGTCACAGCATGATGGTCAGTTGATGTTATATTGATGTGCCTTGATGGTCACTTGATGCCATGTGTGTTGCTTGCGGGTTTGAAACAGCCCTGGATGCCTTTGATATCCTTTGATCATGGCCTCAGTGATCTATCCACGGGTGCATTTGTTGATCTATCCATCACTCATCAATTATGTTTGTTTCATTGCATTTGAATGCATTTGATGTGCCTGAAGAGGATTTTGTTTTGCCGCCTTCACATGGCAAGCCGCCCTGCGGTTTCCATCGGTTTCACCGTGGTCTCTGAGATGGGTGTTTTTGTTCCAGCCCTAGGCCTCAAGAATGCTGATCTGATTCAGCCTGACTCAAGATGACTCGAAGCAAATGAATCGAACCTGCTGGGCGATTGATGGCCGAACAAACGCGATCAAAGACCATGCGATCGACATCGATGGAAGCCCTGCCAAGCAAAATGTCTTAGCGAATTGATTCTTGCAAAGATCCCAACAGAGGTTGAAGAACCCGCCATAGACTATCCCATAGGTACCCCAGTAGGGTCCTATAATAAGGTCATTTAACCTCTCTTGGTCTTGGTACCGCCTTTCGAAGCCCTCACCGTGCATCACCGATAGGACGTCCCAACATCTTCGACAGATCTGAACTACCATCACACGGACCTCTAAAAGGATCAAATAACAAAAATACCAGGACCCTCCAAGGGGTGCCCAATGGAAGCCTATAGGTAGCAGTGTGGGGTAGTCCATTGGACACCCCTTGGAGGGTCCTGGTAGCTCACAGTTCCCTCATTCCATCTGCGGTCGACCTCCGAGTCGTGTTGCGTCGACCTCCGAGTCGTACCGACACCAACGCATCGGTCGACCGTCGCTGCAACCCACATCGGCACCTGGGACGGAGCCCCCGAGAACGTCGAGCGAACCTTGGATTCCGTTCGTTTCGGCGATGCCCGTTTTCGCCCCTTCGTCGGTCGCGTCCGCTTCGACCGGTCCATCGACCCCTCGGCTGCGGGCGTGGATTCTTTGGTTCATCCAGCGCTCAGAATCCGCCAGGCGTCCTCGCTCGGGAGAGCCTGGCGCCGTGTTTTTTTTTGGGGGGGGAAGGGAGAGTGGGAGCTTAGAAATGAAGCTCCTTCCAAGACGATGTTCGACACACCTGGCTTTGGAATGTAAACCCTATATAGGTTTACAGAAACACACACAATGGTTGCTGGGTAAAGACTCTTGACAATCCATCGCTTGGGAAGGAAGATGAAGGAAGTCGGTTGGGGGTCTAGGTGTCAAAGGCCAAAGGCAAGGGCACCGCTCATGACGCGAACAAATAACATCATCCACATGAAACCAGCTGACCAGCTGGGTAGGTCGAATGTGGGAAGGAAAAAGGAACTTGCGCAAGCCCCCTCACAGGAACTTGTACTGGCGATCTGATGGATATCCATGGCTTCATGCATTCCTTCAACCAAAAGACATGGTTTGTGCGAAAACAACCATATACGTACTGTATATATAAGAATATAATATAATATGTTATACAATATGGTTGATCTATATTAATTATTGGTCCTTTGTAAACCCTTCCAGCACAGAACACGATTTGAAGCACTCCAAACTCTCTACGCCGATATCTGAATCTGTTCTAAACTCTCATACAACGCTAAAAAATCACCCAACCTGATTGACTACAATGGCTATACCATGCACTATTTCGGCCGACACACCCGCAAAGTCTGTGCGCCCCAACCGCACATACGCAGCAACCTGAGCGTCGACCTTGTACTCCTCCAAGAAAAGAACTTCACAAACAACTCCACATCTGTGCCTACTACTTTTGCCTTTGGATCTCGCTCCGCCTCGCCTCATCATGAAAGCTCAAGCTCATTAATCTCATCGCTTCCTCCTTGCTCATCGACTTCCTGAGCGATAGAGCCGAAGTGATATTAGGCCGTTAGGCCATTCTGCGTTCAAGTCCACAATAGTCCTCAAGTCCAGGTCTGGCAAATGTCTGAGCTCACAAAGAACATCTAAGGCATTACACCAGCCAACAAAAAAACAAACAACCTAAACCCAAATACTCCATGGGACTGCCATATATGCCTACATTGACCCCCCAAACCACCCCAACTGATCGGCATATATGGCAGTCCCATGGAGTGTCTGGGTAATAGGTTTCTCCAGGCCACGCCAGCTTCAATCGCCTTTCGAGAAATCGACTGAAGTCACTGCCCAGCAAGTCGCTGGACAGAAGCAAGCGCTCGTATCCGGGCACCTGGCGGACGAAGGGGGAAGATCTGACTGGCGAGGCTTGAGAGCTTTGGGGCGTCCAAAGGCAGAGAGAGAGGGAGATTGATATAGATCCGGGCGCCCTTTGGGCTTGTATGTTTGGTTCACCATGTTGGGGCCGTTTGGAAAACCCGAAGGGTTGAACCCGAAGGGTTCCGAAGGGCTGCCGGAAAGGAAGACCCATCTCCATCCCGGTTCATCGTCTCGCCTTTGATCCACGACCGGCTTCCGCTTCCAAGCGTCGTCGGGCCCTGGATCCCTCCGCTCGGAGAAGGGCGGTCAGATCTGGCGATCGGAGAACCGAACGCCGTGGAAACGAATGCCACGAAAGCGAGGTGGTGGAAATCGGGCCTCTTCTTGAAGTCTTTGGTCCAATGGCAAGGCTGCTGCTTGCAACGTCTGCCGCCTCGGGAATGAGTGGTGAAAAACCAGGAACACAGGGACAATGATCGAATCTGGCTTCCCCTTCTACCAAACAAGTCATATAGTCCGCAACTCCAAATGAAAATACAACAAATACAACTAACCATTCTTGGCTCTTCCTCTCTCCTGATGACTCTTCAACTTATAGTTAAAATCCTTCAAACACGGTCCATGTATACCTCCAAGCAAGCCACACCATGCTCTGAGCAGAGGTCATCAAGGTCACTGCGCTGCTGATCTCCTCTGTTGCACAGAGGATCCGACCCGTAGCGGGCGGCTCCATGAATGATGCTCCATGAATTCCATGGAATTCCCAGACGTCCGACGTGTTAGTGGGCGGACTGCCACAGGACTGAGTTCCGGGGTCGATCTAGGACGTCCCATCAGTCAATTCATATGGATTTATACCAAAGCCACTACCAAAGCCTCCGTACTAGCCCCCGTGTTTGGGGTCAAAGCAAGGGACTGTACACGGGCTATTGAATTATATATGAAAATATCATTATACTAATAATTCATTGGCATCTATATATATATATATATTTGTCTTTGTCTCTTATGATTTCCTCATCCAAGAAGTTATCATTAAAATGATGAGGAAATCAAATAACAATAGCAATAAAAAATGGTACACCATCCCAGCCATAAAGGCACACCATAGATCAAAGAAAATACCATCATTGATGGACCATCATCATTTAAATATCAAGGGTTGATTTTCCAATAGCAACTTCATAAAGCACCCCTACTTGGGGGGGCCCTGGTATGTTTCCACAAAAAGGAGTTCTTTTATGTTCGTTTTAGTTTTGCCACGCGTTGCCAAGAGAACAATGTGGATACATGACACAAGTTTCTGTTGTTCTCCTCACGAACCACCAAGACGGATTCGACCTTTGATTACCAGAAGAACTCCTTGCCATCCGGAAAAAAAAAAAAAAAAACAAATGCCGCAGCACAGCACCGAACCCCGAGTTCGGACGAACGGTTCGTCAGTTCGTTCTCCTCCGCTGAAAGCACGCAGATCGCTGTGCCTTCGGGAGCTTCCTTCGCGGCCTTGGGGAGACGGTAAGGTGGGGGACATGTGGGAGGTGACCCCAGGTGTGAGAGAGCTGTTCCTTTCAGACACAGGCATGGCCATGGTCCAACAAGAGAGTAGACCTTAGTGTCAGCCGCAGTAGCAGGTAGAAAAATGACCAACTTCCTCCCCACCTTGCTTTATGAGCAATGTGGGCTGCAGGCTGTAGAATCTGCTGTCCTTCTGACAATATGTTGACCGTGTAGAGCCTATCCAATTGGTCGAAAGCCAAGGACCAATTCGAGTGACCCCCCCAGCGCCCCCCAACAGTTCACGTCAATCATTCTTCCACAGGCCAACCCCTCGTGTGTGCTGCTTCTCACGGTCTTTTGCTTGCTCACCTTCATGTTCCAACATCTTCCAACCCCTCATCAATCTCAAACACTTCACCTCCCTGCCCCCCTCCTCTGATTTCCAAAACTCTCCAACTCCTTCCAAGCGGCCGCATCACTCGGCCCCTTCGGCCCCTTCTTCAGCCCCGCCAGCACCTCCCGGAACTCGTCGCCCCCGGCAGCACCCGTCGCCAGTGTGTCCAGCCAGCGACCCACCTGTGCCACGCCCGAGGAGAGGCCCGCGCCAGCGAAGGGCACCGCCTCCTGCGCGCGCGGGCACAGGAGCTTTTGCCTTGGGCGGAGGACTTGGAAGCTGACGGTCCATGGCGGTCCTTTTTGCAACCCTGCCCCGAAAAAAGATATATTTTATGCCATAATAACTAGAATATGAATTATTCATTATCCTTCAATTGGCTGCAGTGGGGTCAAACCAAACCAAGCAATCCCAGAGTATCAAAGGCAAAAACTCTCTTTGCCAAGGCTCAGCAACTCTTCGCAAAAAGCGCCCAACAAGTGAAGGGTGACCTGGCGGCAAAGGCGCGAGCACCCAACGAGCACTCCACGTGTGTCCCCATAGTCAGCTCAGTCGTCCCCACAAGCAGAAAGGTGCAAACCGCTATGAACAGCTTCTCAAACGAGGTCAACTGAAGATACATCTCATAATACCTCGATACATTTTATACATGCTACCTGGCCGCAATACACAACTCCCTGCCCAAAACCGCTGCCCAAACAGCACCACTGCCCCAACCCGCTTCATCCGTCGCCTTCCGCAGCACGACCTGCGGCAGCACCTCTGACAGCGCCCGGGCGATGCGCTTCGCCTGCTCTCCCGCGGCGCCCAAGGCCGCCTCGGACGCCACGTAGCTCTCGCCGCTCGACAGCCCCAACAAGTCCACGGGCTGCAAGGCAGAGACCAAGGACTCCTCGGGAGCTCGGTGTCTGAACAACAGCGAAGCGACCCGCAGCTGCGATGGTTTGAGGTTTTTGTGTTTTTTTCAGTGACCCCCCTTCTCACGTGGAAGTGCTGCTTAGGTGCTCCTTGTTCTACAATGGGAACTTAGAACCACGTGTAATATCAAACTCTTAGAAGTTCCAACTCTGGATCTGTCAAATAAGGAAATGGGCCACCATATCCATGTGCCTCAGGCGAGAGCATGGCAAACGGCTCGTCCTTTTTTCCGGTCCACGGGCAGCCTGGGAATTGGGACAAGCATCGGGTGCTTTCACCTCTAAGGACCCAAGGATCATCCCAAGGCATACCCAAACACATCCCAAACACGACCCGTCGACTGCCGGACTGCGAAACGGCCAGGGGTGGTGCTTTGGTGAGTCAATTGATCGGCATATATATGGCAGTGCCAGACGGGTCGCATCTGGGTATGATGTCCTTGGGACAAACATTGGGGCATACATGATGTCCGGACAAGCATTTCGCCACGACCACGGGCAGGGCGTTTCGAACGACTCAATGGGCAGGGCGTGGCAGTCCCCTGAAAGAGTATATAACCATTGTATACTTTAAAGTAGTGGTGCTAAACTGGCTGGCCAGCTGGTTCTGGTGTCTGCAGGTTAACACTGCATGACCCGGAAGTAGCAGCAGTGCAAAGCCAACATTGCTGCTCTCCTCTTGGTGCTTCAGCATGGCCCAAAGCTCGTCTTGACCCCTCTGCTCTAAGACCTTCATCTGCTTCACTGGCCTAGCAGCAAAACTGCGCTTAGTGGTGAACTTGGCGCAGTCTGAAAAAATACTTGGAACATATACTGACAGAATCATCGGGATCATCGGGCGGTTTACCACCCGCAGTCAGACTGTTTCAAGAGCTGTAGATAAACACATTGATGCTTGACTGAGGCCTCACTTCACAGCTCAACCCGTGGCCTGTACTCAACAGGGAGCTGCCGCAGCTGGTGAAGCAAGAACATCACATCGGTGACGAAGAGCCCGCAACGTCCCGGGTGGCTCCTCAAGCCGCCCTGCACGTAGGGCCTCCGAGAAGGCGCGCCAGGTGGGCGCGCAGAAAGGCGCTCTTCCAGGGTGGAGACGGAGAGGTCTGGTTTTGGGTGTTCACACCGTGGAGACGGTGTTCGGAACATCGAATAAAACAAAGACCCTGCCATGTTTTCTTCCATGTCTTGGGAGTTTTTTTTTCATGTCTATAGAAGTTGTCCAACATGGAAGCAGCAAAAGTACTTTTCTACTTCTGTGGGCCGCTTGCTATATGTATAATCTCGTCTACTTTGACTCCCACAGAGGTATATGAATATGTGTAATCTATTCATCTAATATGAAATAAAACTATATACCAGCACCCTCCAACAGGTGCTTCCTTGGTGACAACAGGTGCCCAGAAACCACCTGTTAGGGTCTCCAAACAACCTGTTGGAAGGTGCTGGTATATGTGTGTTGTATACTGTTCTAAAAACACATGCTCTGACATTGGCTTTCAGTTAACTCAGCTCCCCAGTCGAGAAGGAAGGTGAGGGAAACGCAAGGTGAAAAGGTCAGCGCAACTGAAATGTTTAACAAATTGTTCACTTGTCTGCAGTTCACGAACGCGCAGCGGCTGAAAGCGGCGGAGGGAAAAATGGTTTGTGGGAAGTATCATGAACCACCATGGAAGCAAACCAAGGAAAAGGACGGCGTGATCAACAGTTGCTTTGCAGGTACAAGTCTGTGCGTCCACAGACTCATCCACCCATCTCTCTAGCTTCGTTGGCTAGTGTCGAGAAATGGGCCGCTAGCCCCCTGCTTGAGGAATGAATCCGATGTGAAAAGCCCTTAGGAACAGGGTTTGACACACACACGGCGCCGCTTCGCGGCGCTCGTGCGAAGGACCTGAATAGTGACCTAAAAAGCCTTAGAAACAAAAGAAAGAAACACAGAAAGAGCAGCGCTAAGAGGGCGAGAGAAAGGTAGGAGTAGAAAAAAGGTGAATACTTAGCCCTTGACTGGGGTAGGGAAACGAGCCTCAAGAGCAACCTAAAAAGCCTGAGAGAAAGCCCAAGAAACGACCAAAAGTGTAAGAAAGAAAGTGGGGGGCAGGGAGGTGTATGTACATGTGTGTCCGTGTGTGTGTATGAATACTTAGCACTCTAGAATTACTAATTACTTAGCGGAAGTGATTTACATGCAATAGTTAGGGAGCGGGACTTTAGTCTTAGACCGCCCGGGTAGAGAAGACTAGAAAAGGGACAGAGGGAAAGGCACCGACGCACAAGTGTGTCGAGTACCATTTCCCTCTGTTACCCTAATTAGTGGGTGGGGTAGAAACCGCGTCGGGGTTCATTCTCCGTACAAGCCCGGCGGCTGTTGTAATCAAATGGTTTTATCCGTATAAGCCCGGCGGCTCGTAAAGCAGCTGATCCAGTAGTGAAAAGGAGTCAGCTAAGAAAATCCAAGGAATGAAGGATCCGAAAAGTCTGTTACACGATTTGCAGAATGGCTTCAGCGCCCCAGTGACGGGGATCACACCCAGCACCCAAGTGGGACGGCTGAGCGATTCACACTCTGACATTGGTTTTCAGTTAACTCAGTTCCCCAGTCGAGAAGGGAGGTGAGGGAAACGCAAGGTGAAAAGGTCAGCGCAACTGAAATGTTTAACAAATTGTTCACTTGTCTGCAGTTCACGAACGCGCAGCGGCTGAAAGCGGCGGATGGAAAAATGGTTTGTGGGAAGTATCATGAACCACCATGGAAGCAAGCCAAGGAAAAGGACGGCGTGATCAACAGTTGCTTTGCAGGTACAAGTCTGTGCGTCCACAGACTCATCCACCCATCTCTCTAGCTTCGTTGGCTAGCGTCGAGAAATGGGCCGCTAGCCCCCTGCTTGAGGAATGAATCCGATGTGAAAAGCCCTTAGGAACAGGGTTTGACACACTCTGACACTGGTTTTCAGTTAACTCAATTACCACGATGGGAA